CCCCTCTCCCCCACCCCCCACACTCTCTTCCTCTATTTCCTGATTGATCCCTAGATAATGGTCCATACCAGGAATGACCTGGGAGAGGTTTTATGAGTCTTTAAGGTAAAAAAAAAGAATCTTTGACAAATTACTGAAAGTAATTCCGTCTTTCCCAGGAAAGTCCTCTTTCAATGTCTAAGGCTAGTTGACAGGGTGTCAAGTGCCTAACCGCTCACATCTGAGCAAGTGCTAACTCCCCTCCAGCTGCCCTCAGCATCCACCTGTGGCAACTTGGCCACAAGAGGGCAAGAAAGCTCTTTCCCCACGCCAGCACCAGCATGGCTTTGGAGTCAGTGGAGGCTGAGAGAAAGGGCCCCGCCCTGAGTTTTGGGGGGCCTCCAGGCACAGCCAGAGGAACTGGCTCAGCAGTTCAGCAATTTTCAGAGCTGGCTCAGCAGGGAAACCAGACAAGGCCGCCTGAACCAAGTCTTCCCTGCCCAGAGAGCCCCATGAACTGCTCTGGGCCTCACTCCCCGTTTGAACCCCCTGCAAAAAGTTACCACAGGATCCACACCTGAGAAGGCAGAAGGACGGCCCATTGGCCTAGAGTCCCAGTAGGTGCATCCTGTGAGACCTGTGGCCACATATCTTCCTTGTCTCTCCAGGTCACTGAAGGGTCTGTGCTAGGCACCTTGGTGGTCAGGGACATGGGAACAACTCTAAACTCTGAAGAAGGACAGAGAGACTCTTCATGAAAGCAAGGATTCCAGGGAGATGCCTTGCCCAGAACTGGGGGACTGTGTCCTGAGTAGACCCCTGGGAGGCAGTGTGGGGCTGTGGGGTCTTCTTCAGAGTAGGGAGCAGGTGTGCTTTCTGGGAGTGGGGTCCTGCTTTGTCCAGTCATGTCCTCGTGTGAGACTCATTTACAAACACCTCCCAGTCCATCTAGGGGTGGTCCCAGGGGTAGGGGTAGAGGAGGAGAGTGAAGGGTGCAGACTTAGGGCCCCCTGACCCACACAGGGAGCCAACGGTCAGTGGGAACATCTTGGGAGTCTAGTGCAGGGGTGGAGGACGAGCACTAAGAACATGCCAAGTCATGCAATAAAGTGACCCGTGACCATGAGACACAGGTGACCCTACA